TAGAGTTTTTTTTTTTAAATTTTTTTTTAGAGTTTTTTGTTGAAAAAAGCTTTTATTATGATTTAACAACAATTGAATGTTTTGATTATTTATTCACAATTTTTATCAGTCTATACAATTAAGAAACTAATTTGCTTTGTAAACTAGAACTATAAGAAGTTTTGTTAATTTTTTTTGCTATACTTGACATTTTTTCTCAATACTTATATAATAGAAAAATAAGTAAATAAATTGTCCTTTATTTGTAAAAAATATCATTCGAATAATAAGTTTTGTTAATGATGTAATAAGTTAAATAACAGAATATCATAGTTTCTTTAATAAATGCATTTTATGCATTTGATGCATGTCTGAAATTGTATCTTTTATATTGCCCAATTTCCAATGTTTATATATGAATTACTATATATTATGAACATAACGATTGCGCTGTTTGAAAAGTGTATTTAAAAACTAAAAAAAAGAAATTTTAAATAGGCTCCTAAAAATTTCATCAAGCCCACAAAATTTTGCAGCATCATTTCATTTTTTTACATGAAAAACTGGGTCAAAAATTTTTTTTTTTTACAAATAAATGGTAGTTAGTTTTCTCGCTTTCCTGTGCATTGGTAAAAACAGTAATGTTTAGCAACGATATTTAAAAAACAAATTTAAAAATTGTCTGTGTTTCTAGCCCAATTTATAAAGTATTTCCTTTATATACTGACTGATAAAAGTCTCAAAAAAATTATACATCAAAAAATATTTTTATTTTTGTTTAGTTTTTTATCTACTTTTTTCCTCAACTTGTACCAATTTGAGTAGTGGAAAATAACAAACGCCTAAAAAATAAGAAAACAAAATGAGTAAAATATTTAGGTATACTATTTTTTTGACAATAATATTTTTTTTTAATATTAAATTTTTGTTAGCTTATTTTATTTAGATTTTTTATTTCACATCTTCGGTTCTTTTCTTCAAGAAAAATAATGCTTGCTATATAAAAACGTGGTCAAATTGTCTAAAAAAATTACTTTAGGTGTGGACATACAAGGCGTGTGACACAAACCAAAATTTCGAATTTACCATATATGCGAATGGATAAAATTTTTAACAATTTTATAATTGTTATTTGTTATTTCTATTTTTTTATGATTGGAGAATTATTATGTAGTTTTTAAGCATTTAACAATTTGTTGTTACATCATAACACTCTAAATTATATTTGGACATGACATGATTAATTATTTATGGTACACAGTTCTCCACACAAATAATTCTACAAGTACAAAAGTTACTGTATCAAAAAAATGTTGTGTAGTATTTAGCCTAATTGAAGGGTAATATATAATTTTTATGCTTTGTTAGACAAAATAAATCTAAGCTGGAGTTTTCGTTCTTTTCACACATGTCAAAAAGATCTTTAAGATACTTGCTTGTTCTGCACATTGATTTGTTCTGGGAATTCCAGTGTCAATGGTTTCTGATTCCAAAACTATTTCACTGAGTTTAAGGCTTTTTTAGATAATCATCTGCAATGTACATATGGTCAGTAAACTAATAGTCAACCCATCTGCGAGAGATGAATCTACAAATGTCAAGTAGTTAGTCTCTTCTGTCTGGTAGAAGAATAATTGCCAAAAGAGCTAGTAAAGCTGGAGAATTCCATCTTCCATTATTTAATTTAGGTATTTTTTGAAACTTTACTTAAGCGTATAATACAGTTTCTTCAAAAAAGCGGAATACCTTAATTAAATGCTATAGAAATTTCATATAATTAGGCCATCCTGCTGTTTCAATACTTACTTTACCATTCTTAATATTCTTCCTGAGCTGTTTGTAGTTCTTTACAAGTTCCCGTATAAGCAGTATTCCATATTGATTGATATATTGTTTCCTCCAAGTTCTTCATTCATTACTATGCGAAGAACTTGGTTTAAGAGCATGGTGTTGACAACCAATGAATTGTGGTTCTTTTAGTTTCTTTTTATTAAAATGCCTTTGTAACTGACTGACAATACTTCTTACATTTGTAGTGTTAACATTTTTATTACATTCGTAGTGTTAATATTTTTACAATCATCATCATCATTTCATAAATTTTATTCAGTGAGAATCGCTTTTATACCTTTAACAACTGTATTTTCTTTTACATCTGTTAAATTTAGTGCTTATCTCTCTTTGTTTATTCTTCAACACTAACACTTTATATTCTTGATGACTAATGTGTTTTTTATCAAAGTACAGTAACCAAGGACATTTTTCTTCTTTTGAATGGTTAAATAGTTTTTGAACTAGCGGTTTTCCCAGTTATATACCCGGTCGACGTACACAGAAAATCCCATCGCTCCCATTGATGTTGAACTTTGATTCATCACTGAACAGGACAGTTCGCCATTTCTGCACATTCCAGTCAATATGAGATGTCACTAACAGGAGTCTTTTCTGGTTCTTTAGTGAAATCAGCGGTTTCTTTACAGGGCGTCAAAAAAACAATTCGGCTTCAAGAGCACAACGTCTGATTGTTCGGTCTGATACAGGCAACTCTAATTGCTTTTGTATCTCGACTGATGATATCCAGGGATCCATCTTGATGTATCTAACGATCAAAGAATCCTCTCTAGAAGTGGTGGAACGCGGTCTTCCACCTTTGTTATCTGCTGTCAACTTCCCTGTAGAACGTTATATGGAACATAGTCTTGGTACGGTCCATTTTTTCACGCGATATTTATCACAAATACTTTTTTGAGACATTTCACTTACGTAATCGCCAATAATTTTCTTTCTTAGTTCCAATCCAAGACTGTCGAAAGCCATTTTTGCACTTGAAGTCATAAAAATAATAAAAATAAAAAATCACGCTTCTCAAGGCTTACCATGTTACATTTACCTTGTGATGATACAATAATGCTCTGTGGAACACAACGTCTTGGTTGGATGTGGACTGTATTGATGTAGTGAAACACTTGTATTGATGTTCTTTGATAAAACACTTTGATAAAACTCACTTCGATAAACTGTCTTGATAATACTGACTGATTGACTTCCATATACTGACTGAATTACATGTCGGTTTACATGTCTCTTATATAGTAAAATGAACCTGTGTGAACCTGTTCTGGAAGATTCTAGATGCTTCTTTTCGATGCTTCTGGAAACTTCTGGATGCGTCTGGATGCTTCTGAATGTTTCTGGATACTTCTGGATGCTTCGAGATGTTTCTTCTGTAAACTTCTGGAAGCTTCTGCATGCTTCTGGAAACTTCTGAATACTTCCTTTAATTATTAAAAAACTTCCATGACGTTGCACTTGTTTTGTCCGCTGCAAAATGGCACTTGTAAACGAAATTCTGCCTGTGTGCTGTCACCTGTCAACTGATTGCTAATGTCATGGCATGGTATGACTACAGACTACTGAACTGTTTGCTGTGGTAGTATAGTTCGTTTCGTTTTTAAAACATGTAAAATTAGGAACACTTTTTAGCATTGTTTGATGTTGGTTGCAAATGTTTTGTCCAATACTGTATATATATAAATATATATTTGTATATAAGTATATATATTTTATAATTATATATATATATATATATATATATATATATATATATATATATATATATATATATATATATATATATATATATATATATATATGTATATATATATATATATATATATATATATATATTTATATATATATATGTATATATATATTTATATATATATATATATATATATATATATATATATATATAAATATATATATATATATATATATATATATCTTATATTATATTATCTTCGCTTCCAACAAGGCTGCAAGCAACCACTAGTTAGTGTTGGAAGTTACTGGAAGAGAAAAGATGAAGATTGTAGAGCAAGATAACGATTGACAGATGACTTAAAAGATTGCAAATTATATGAATCAGGGAAGCGAGTTCCAAAAAACTGATGTTCGAGGAAAAAAACTAGACGTATTAGAGTTTTTGGAGCTCTTAGGAAAACTAACAGAAAAAGGATGAGACTTAATTAAATGACGAGTAACACAAGAATGAATTTTAGTAGATGGCACAAGAGACGCTAGCTCTTTCGAGCAGTGCCCATTATAGTATTTGTAGAATAGAAAAAGAGAAGCAACATTACGACGATGAGACAGAGGTTGAAGGTTGGCTGCAAGAGCAAGTCCAACTATGTATACAATGCATTTTTGCACCTTGTCTAAAAGAGAAAGGGCATCATTAGAAGATTCGCCCCAGATATGGCAACAGTATTCCATACAAGGCCGGATTGAAGATTTATAGAGATAGAGAATAGAATCCAGAGTAAGAAAGTGATGAGCTCGATAAAGAGAAGCAACTTTAGCAGAAGCTAATTTTGCAACGGATTTGATATAAGGTTTCCAAGAAAGATCAGAAGTAAGAGTTAATCCTAGAAAATGAAGGGTAGGAGACTCATCGAGTACATTACCGTTCATAAATATAGGAAGGTCTAAACTATTGCGATAACGATTGGCCGAAAAAAGTTGAGTTGTTTTTATTCTGAATTAATGTTCACCAGCCACTGTGAGCCCCATGCTGTAGCAGAAGTGATATATATATATATATATATATATATATATATATATATATATATATATATATATATATATATATATATATATATATATATATATATATATATATATATATATATATATATATATGTATATATATTGGGGTCTATTCTAGACCGTTTTTGACAGCGTCAACCGTATTCGGGGGCTGCCCAAATTAAAAATTGAGGACCTTTTTTTTTTTTCACTTTTTTTAATGCAATTGTTGTTTTTTTCGCAATAAAATGCTGATATTCGGAAATATTTCTGCTAAATTTTTTCGGGACTGGGGGATACCGCCGCCCAAATTTTTTTCCTAGAATAGCCCATATATATATATATATATATATATATATATATATATATATATATATATATATATATATATATATATATATATATATATAAATATATACTTTTTTTTTTTATAGGGGTGTTTAAAGAGGCTTAAGAGCAGTAGAGATGAAATGGTTAACAATTTCAGAAATGCGCTGCCAGGATCTCCCTCATCATCCCAAGAATTAGTTCATCAAGTTATGATTCATGAATGGGAGCAAATGACACTTGAAAGTCCGCATTTGTCGAGAATTTCACAGAATTTTTCTTCTATGAAAGATGAGCAATTAGTATTACTTCATCAATGTTTTTTAAAATTTTGAGATATTTATTAAATTTTATTAATAATTACATTTAAATATATTTGTTTATGTTCACTAAAATATTAGTGTTTTTATTAGAAATTTGATGAAACATATGAAGACATAGAAGATATTTTGAATGTCTTTGAAACTATTCAACAAGAATTATTTAAAGAAGGTTTACCTTTTTCTTATTCACCTTTAAAGTTTATATTTCAATATTTTAAGACTTTAAAATTAAGTTAAATTTAAACTATTTATTTTGATCAACTTTTTTTTTTTTTCTACAGAACAGTTAATGTTATTAAAGTATGAAGATTCTGTATCTTTTAACGAGCGCTATCTTTGTGCCACTATTGACTTGTTTACTACCGATAATGTGATGTGTCCAATTTGTAAAAAGTAATTTTTTTTTACGACAATTTTTTATTTTTGTCTCGAAACTTTGTTAAATATGTTGTTCTTTTGACAGAAACAATCTAATTCAAAGAAACAACGCTTTCATATGCGCGTGTGGGTTGTTTATTGACAATCAAGTATTATATTTCTTTGTCCTTTTAGTAAATGTAACTTTTAATCACTTGTTATGTAATTTTTTAATCACTTTCTGTATCGTTTATAATCACTTTTTATGTATTATTTTCTGTATATTTTTCACTTGTTATATATTTTCTGTATATTTTTATTGTGGTATTATTTTTTCAATTTTGTTACTTTTTTAGACTCGTGATCTTAACTTTCTTCACAAACAGTTAAATATGGCTGTTGCTGCTCACAAGTAAATATGTCACACAATTTTTAAGTTTCTTTATTTTATTAACTATTGTTTGATAAACCTCATTTCTTTTTTTTCTTTCTTTTAAATTATTTGTTTGGTGTGGCTTATACTTTTGCAGAAGAAAACTTGAGTTAAATTAACTGATCACAGTGCTGTGGCTACTGGTTCCGATGCCCCCAAAAGTAAAACTTGCAATGAGGGCCCCTAAATTTTTAAAATATTTACATTAAGTGTTACTAAAAATAAAAAAAAATCCTTACATTTGCAAATGGGAACTTTATATTTACTAAGCTCTCTAATATGTGAGTGTGATGGAGCCTAGCCACGATTCTGACTGATCATAGTTTTAAAAAATGTTAAAAATTTATTATTTTTTAAATTATGACAGTAACCAATGCAGTTCAGAGCCTGTTTTTTCGTTGGTGGATTTCAGTGGAATGAATGTAAAAAATCTTGTAATGATTTGCCAGGTAAATTTTATTTGCTTTTATTCGTAACTGTTTTGATAAGATAATGACTGACAGAACTGACAACAATTTATTAACTCCAAACGTTGCTAGTTGTTATTCATCCTTTGCATCAGGCTCTATGTCAAAAGTAGTTTATAATAAATTCTTAATTCAAAGCCTGCCCATGAAACTTATATATAAAGATTTTTAATAACACCTTGATTTTATTAGATTTGTGACGTTATGGAAATAATCTTATGAATTTTAAAGACGCTTCGTTTTTTGGTCGTTAATTCTGTCTGGCATGATATGCGTGAATATGTATAGACCTGCAACTTTATGTTTATAGTGTATTTATATGTTTTTTACAGTTAAGTAATATTTTTAATATAATAATATTTTACTCTAATATTTACCTGTTAAGTTTATTGTCTCTTAAGTGTTGAGTATGTGGGAAGAGGAGTTTAAGGAGTTTTTAATTAAGTAAATGAGTTTTTTAAGTACTTAAAAAAATAATTGTTCTATACAATAGAAATTTTTTTTTATTTTAAATTACTGAATTATGTTTAGAGTTACCCTAGACTTTTTTAATATTAAAATAAGCAAATATGAAAACAACATTCATAAGGTTGTTATCTAAAGACTGGATAAAATCGTATGAGATATCCGCAACAACGTGTAGAAAATAAATCGCAAATCAAATCAAATAAATCGCAAATATCTATACTATTTACACGTTATTTTCCTGAACTATCGTATTAGCTCATAATATTTTTATAAATAAGGTAGATTAAAGGTCAATACAAGTTTTTTTAAATTGAGTTTTACAGTGAACCCAAGGCTTTAACCATGATCATATCACAATAGATGCTTATTGCGGCTTTGAATGAAATCGAAGATCGAAAATGACATTAAAAAATTTTTCACGTATTTTGAAGCATGATATTAAAACAAAGAAAAAAAATTTCCTTCACCAACCGTATTTATTTTTGGTCTAAACACCCAATAATCAATAATTAAGTGGAATACTTGTTTCAAAGTATTTACTTTTCTTTTTTTTCGAGTTAAAAAATGCCTTCGACACAATTTAGTCAATATTTCTAAAAGTTTAGTCAAACTTTGACATCTACCCGGTGGGAAATGAGCTAGCGACTAGCTAGCTTTATAGCGATTTTTTTTTTCTTATTTTATTGTCTCTAAAATCTTTAAAAAGTTATTAACTAATGTCTCTAACATCTTTAAAAAGTTGATTTTTAGAGTTGAGTCTTTTATAATTAAGAGAATAATTGAACTTTAAACATTGCGATTTTGTAGCAATGTGTCGCTAGCTACATATCGTAGCTTTGTAGCTAGCTACAAAATACCTACAAATCTATAGCGGGTTGATAGCTACATACCAAAATTTTTTTGATAGCGATTTTATTACGATATGACGGTAGCTACAATAGCCTGTGAGTCTTTAGCTTATTAAGCTAGCTGTCATCGTTGCCAAATCGCTGTCTTTATCTTTACAAATATCAATAGCTTTTCGCTAACTTAAAAAAGGTAGCGATCCTCGTGGCCAAATCGCTGCCTTTATCGTAACGATTATAGCTAGCTATTCGATAGCCGATTTCCCACCGGGTAATATCTGAAGAGCCAATGATTATTTTTTTTTTTTAATTTTGGAATTGAACTTCTAGTATGAGTAGTAACAACAAGAGGTTACTCTAAAAGTTTAGTGTTTTTGTCTGCTTCTTACAGAAAGTCGCTCTTAAGTTCAACTTGAACTTCAAGCATATTTTTAAGCTTCTCAAAACTTTTTTTTATAAGCATACCCACCGAGTGAAAAATTTCTTGTCCCACCTGGGTCCATGTGGAAATCATACGAGAAAAAATTTTTACTGGGAAGTCTGTTTCATGTGCTTATCAAAATTTCATATTGTTATAAAAAATTAAAAAAAAAAAAAAAAGTAATACTTTTGACTGGGATTTTTTGTCGCAAATATAAGAGAATAGGTATACATATGATTTCTTTGGAATATAATATCAAAAAAACGTTTTCTGGAAAAAATTGTCGTAATTGAAAAAGTTGTCGTAAATACAAAGTGGCTTAAATGCCAAAACAATATTCTTAAAAACTATATCTTAAATTAGAAAAGAAAAAAAAAAATAATAAATAATTAAAAAAATTAAATTTTTTTTTTTAATTTTAAATTTTTTCCTCCAATTTACTTCTTTATTAAATTGCTACTCTTAGATTAAGAATAATTAAGAAAAAATAAACAAAAAAAACAAACAAAAAAAACAACAAAAAAAAAACATATAAAAAAAAACATATAAAATGAAAACAAAATATAAATAGTGAATGCACACAATCACATATAAATACAGTTCAAACAATTAAGGGTATTTTTTAAATACGATTTCAAGAATATATAGTATTAACTTTTTTATAAATTAATAAATATATTCATAAAAGTAGTCTTACTTAACGCCTTAGAAGAAATTTAATTCATTGTCATTTAGTAAAAGAACTTGCCTAATTTTTTTTTAATTGGTTTTTAAGTGGCTGAAAAGTAGGTTTTAAATTGACTAAGTTATTTTTTGACAATCTTGTGCTGTATATATTATACTTTAAGGTGGTAGAGCTAGAAAAAATATGTAAAAAACTTTAAAAAATCTTTTTTTTTTTTATTTTTTATTTTCGAAGGAAATTATTTAGCTTTCATGTATTGAAAAAAGTTTTTTAAAAAAATTATTTCTTATTTAGTTTTTAATGCTTTTATGTAACTACATACAACGACTAGTCCTTAGTTACACCCTTAGCAACGGTAAACAGTTTTTTTACCTTGATACCTTTCCTTAAAGCACAACAAGATTTATATCATACACTGATAAATGTGCAATTGTTAAAGGTCATTAACTTAAGGAACATTGTAAATTTTGGCAGTTTTTTGAAGGAACTTTAATATATGCTGTTTAGGTTGATGCATGTTTCCATACCGCAAAGTCAGGTGGCGTCTTTAGGTCCGTAAATTTTGTAATTTATTTTACATAATTATTTTAAGCATGAATAATTATTTGTTTTGATACATTTACGGTATTTGTTTTTGTTTAATTACGGTACAGAAACATTCACTACCTAACGAAATAACGTGTGAAAAACGTAATTTTAATGCTTCTTTATAACTTTGGCTTTAACTTTTTAATTTATGAGCTTAATTTAAGTTCATTTAAATTAAATGTAAATATTTATTTGGATTTATGACGTAAAATATCTAGTTTGCTTTATTTGTACATTTTACATCATATTTAATATTAATGTATACATTAATATTAAATACGATGTAAAATGCAATATGCATATTGAATATAATTTGTTTATATTAAAGTTTCTTAAGATTTAAAATAAGTTATTTCCCTTGTCTATTTATTAGAAATTAGGCTGAGACAAAAAACTATTAAGATTTTTTTTTTTAATTTTTTTATAAATAATATTTTACAATTTCTTTGTTTCTTTGTCAAAGAAATCATTTAAAGTTTGAAAACAAAATTAAATTTGGTAGAAACATTCGGATTTTAGTAGAAATATTCTGTTGTTTTTTTTATTAATATACCTCAAAACAAAAAAGTTTGTGATGAAATTTTCATTTAACTCTTCTAATAAAGTTTTTTATCCACCTACATTTTCTGAAACTTCCATTACAAATTATATAATGAACTTGAGACAATGTTATTGTTTTTTGTGTTCCATTTGTTCCACTCTCTGTATAACTAAGTTATACATTTTGTTCCACTATGTTCCATTATGTTTCACTAAACCCTGTATAACTAAGCATAAAAAAAAAGTTAGCTGTTGATGAATTTTATGTATCATGTTTATTAAAGTTGAAGAACAGTGAAAATAAAATACTGTTTTCTAGCCTTAGCTATAAATTAAGTATAAGCTTTGCTGTTACATTCAGTTACACAAAGCTAAAGAGTTTAGGTAGAACAATTTATATAATTATTGTTCAAACAAGCTATCATTCAGTTTCGTCTTTGCATTGTTGTAAGAGAGTACAATGGTAAACTTTGTTAGTTGGTTACTTATCAATCATGTTAAAGAATTCTTGAAATTTTCAACATATTTACAACGCTTGAAAGCATCTTATGTTAAGTTGAGATTATTTAGTGTACTGTATAATATTTCATAATTTGTATTTCCAATTTTTAAAAAATTAGAAGGACAGCTATTTAATTCATGTATTCTCGAAATGTTGGAGTAACTATGTTTAAGATGCTTAATTAGTCTGTTAAATACTTAATCTGGAACTAAAAATTAAGGTTAGATATCTACACGTATTATTTCTACTTAAGCTTATGTTAATTTTTGTTGTTTTATGTAAGTGAAAAAATTAATTTTTCCTTTTGTCTATTTTTTTTTATTGCATTCTATACTATTTAAAGTAGATACAAAAACAAGTTTCTTCTGTGTTTTTATTTTTAAAACTTAAATATCTTTTATTTAATTTTTAATTTTTAAATAATTTGCTTTCACATGTCCTCTAATGTAGAGTTTTTTTTTACCAGGTTTTCCTACTTTTGATAATATACATTTTGCAATTTTTTTGGGGGGCTCTGACTGAATAATGAGTTTTTACTTTTATTTTATCTGTTGAGTTTTGGTAAAGAAAATGAGAATAAAATAAACTTAAGTTCTATATGAAACTCTTTTTTAATGTAAACATGAAAAACAATAACAAAACAAAACATTAGATTATGATCAAGGTTTACTTTATATATATATATATATATATATATATATATATATATATATATATATATATATATATATATATATATATATATATATATCAATATGCATGTAAACATTTTAACATAGACATTTTGTAAACATTTATATTCAATCAAACTTATTTTATAAGAAAGTTTACTGTTTTATTAAAAAAACATTTTTTAAACATTGAAATTTTTGAGTATTCACTAAAATATTATTTATGTTATGCTTTCAGTTTTGAATTTATTTTCTTGACCACAAACCATATCAAATTAGAGGGTAACTAAATTAAAATTTAACTTTTGTTTATATATATATAAATAAATATATATATATATATATTTATATATATATATATATATATATATATATATATATATATATATATATATTTGTATATGTATATATATATATAAATATATATATATATATATATATATATATATATATATATATATACAATTTAGAATTTGACAAATATATATATATATATATATATATATATATATATATATATATATATATATATATATATATATATATATATAAATATATATATATTTATATTTATATTTATATATATATATATATATATATATATATATATATATATATATATATATATATATATATATATATATATATATAT